ACCGATCATAGTGAATGTTGAAACGAGTACTCTTTATGTTATATTTATTTGGCATTTATAATTATTATTTATTATATTATCTAAACATGTACTATATATAAATGGGATATTGACATATTATCCGATATCTTAGCAAAAAAAAAACTAAAGCGAGTATTAACTAAATAATTAATATATAGTTAATATATATATTTTATTAATATATAGTTATATTATATATATATATATATAATATATAATAATATACATTAACAAAAATTTGAATACATGTAGCTAGAATAACATATTAACTAATTTTATAGAGATTCGGGTAAATTCGGATTCAGAACACGAAAATCTTTCTATTATCAAAATAATGTTGTTGATATGTTTTATCGAACTTGTGTTATAATTTTGATGCATCCATTTTTTTCCAAAATGAATCAAATTTATAGCAAAAAATATTTTACATAGACTAAAATTTCACATTGAACTGATTTCGAGAAGTATTGAAAATCATAAATATATTATTATTTTGTCTTGGAATGTATGTCTTAAAAAAATCAAATGTAGAAAAATAATTTAAATGTAATAATTTTTTTAAAGTAAAGAATTGAAATATAAACAAATTTTTAAAAAATTCATTTGTTTTAAAAAATTCATTTTCGAAAAGTTAATATATATATAAAAATTGTATTTATTAATTTTGTTGTAAAATGTTGATTTTAATATTATTGAATGATCTCAAATTAGTTGGATTAAAAAAGAAGGTTCATAGTGTGAAAAAATGGACTTCAAATATTAAATTTTTAATAATAATAAAAATATTTGATAAATTCAAAATAAATTTTAATTTATGTGTTTAAAAGATATAGAGAAGATGTTTTAAATATAGATTATTTGAAATATTCAGACATGTTAGATACTTCATTCTATTGAAAATAAAATGAAATAAAATTATATTTTATGAAATAAAAGAAGGTATGTGAAAGAAAAGAAATATGGAGATCAATATTTTGTTATTTTGCATGTTATATTGCAAAATGTCATTTCTTCATTTCAAAACATTTTTTCAAATAAGTTCATTTTATTTTTTTCAACAATAATTTATTGAATTAAAAACTAATTGATTATAATGTATTGAATAGAAGCATTACATTGATGATATTATAAGTTTCATTTTAAGTTTTATTAAATATTATCGCGTAACAATATAATATAATAATCGTTTTAAATGTCCATAATTAAATGTAAATATGAGTTACCATGTTAATTTCAAATATAAGCTAATCAATTTAGATTATTTTTTGATACATATTTCAGTATATTCCAGAACTATTCCAATACGTTTGACAAAATAATATTGGGGGAATATTGAAATTATAATTATAAGGGAATATTGAAATAAAAAGAATATGAAAAAAAAAATTATTATAGCTATTATAATTAGAAAGAAAAAAATGAAGATTTTAAATGATGAAATATTTCAGTATATCTCATACAATACTTTAAATTTTAAATAAAAAATTTGATTTTACAACTCAAGCAGCTAATATTAATAAATTTATTATTAAATAATATTAATATTATTTATTAATATTAATAAATTAATATTAATAAATAATAATAAATTCTATAGAAAAATATTAAATCTATAAAAAAAAAATCTTATTTGGATAAAAAAATGTAAGAAGAGCTGATTACTTGTTTGTTAGAAAGTAAAAATTCTTCAAATATGTTTATAGGAATTTAATGGATGGCATATCAGCTTTCAATTCAAAATAATTTATAAATTATTTCTCAAATCGCTAAAATTGATAGGACTTGGATAAATTTTTTTTTTGAATCAGCATAAAAATAGCCTATTTTTTCACAAATTATACGAAATTAAGAATTATTAAGAGCATTTTAATAAAGAAAATGTTCAAATTTTTTTAAATATTTTATAAGAAATATAATAAAAATATAAAATATAAAAAATAGAAATCTCTCTTTCATACAAAAATAGACTAAACTATCCAATAAAATAAAATCTTTCATATTATAAGAAAAGATAAAAGGTAAATAGAATTAACAGAAGCTTCTACAAAAAAAGATTGTATAATAATTGTATAATATATAGTAATTGCCATATGATGCTTCTAAATATTTTATTTTTCCTTTAATTATTTTTAGAAAAGAATGATCTAATAAAAAATACTAATGAAAAAATGTCCTTCAAGTTTGAATTGGCAAAGCCTTTTGGATTCAAAATCATCTTTACTGAATTTGATTAAAAAATTTGATCCAAAAGATAAGTTATTAGTTTTACTGATTAAACATTTATAATCAAATGCTCATGTTTCTTCATCACTGATATGATTAGAATAATAATAATTAATTTTTCTCTTTATTCCATAGATAAACTCGTTTTGATAAGACATTTATAGGATCATTAAAATTTTTTTATAGCGAAGAAATAAAATAATAACTTCAAACATTGAAATCATTCTGTTTCACTATATGACATTATGGAGCTTGAAAAAAATTAATCCAGATTGGAGAAATTATAATAAATAGATTTAAAGCAAGAATATTTTTATTTAATAAATATATTTTTTTTAATAATAATTTTTTAGTTTTTTAGATTGAAATAGAAAGAAGACATATTATAGTATAACACCGCAGATATAATTCTTAATTTCAGTCCTTCAGAATATATATGTTTTGATATATCATTTGAAACTTATTCAATTATTTTTTTCTACTTCAAGTAAATTCTTTTGATATTTCTCTAATTCTTTTTATAAAAAAAATTGTAAATTGTAGCTATCAAATTATAAATTCTATATTATTATTGAATAATTATATTATCTGTTTATTATCTGTTATTTCTAAAATATTCTATAAGAAAGTATTGTTTTTACTTTGAATTCATTTAAAAAAAAAAAAAAATTAGAATTCGATGATTTTAAAAATTATAATAAAATCAAAATAAAAAAATGGAAATAAATAAAAAACAAAATAGAAACAATTATTAAGAAATTTAGAAAATAATGTTAATCAAAATCATGATAATAGCGAAATTCATTAGAGGACACGTGTCTTTACGAGTTGTATATTTTATGATGAATTTCAGATGACTCAAGAAAAAATTTTGGATAAAATATTTTTAATTTCATATAATGATACTTATATCTGTTGAAATATATACATAAATGTTCTAAATAACAATTAAATTAATTTTAAATTAATATTAATATTAATATTATTAATATTATAAATAATTTTAAATTATCTATATTTTAAACATATTTTTAAATGTTTTAATTCAATAAATATAGTTTTTTTTTTCAATTATTTTATCAATAATTCATACCGCATTTAGACCATATTTCTAAGACAATTTTTATTTTAAATATATAATTTACAATATATATTGTTTTTGTTTAATTTATTTTGATTTCATGTTGTAAAGTAAATATATCTTTAATATTTATTGAACTGTTATATCTTAAAAATTTTTAACAATAAATCTTTTGACAATAAATCTTGAAATAAAACTGCTAACTCATATTTAGGTCATCTCTTCTAATATAGTGTATTATCTTGCTGAGACAATGATTTTACAACGATTGGAAATTTAATATAATATAATTAATTGAATAATCTTTGTAGTCCGGTCAACACAAAATTTGGAAAGATAATAGAAGAGGAAATATTCAGGAATTACTCCGAAAAGTTTATTCGAAAATTGAATAACTAATTATAAATAACCAACCATTATTATTTTATAAAAATAATATTGATATTTATTATTAATCAAAGGAATGATTATATTTTGAAAGAGCTTAGTTAACATCGATATATTTGCTAGAAAAGAAAAAATAGATTTTTAATCTAAAATTTAATTTTGAATTTATTAATTTTTGAAATATTAATAAAAAATTTTCGATATAAATTCAATTTTACATATTTTGCTCTTCACGAAAACTGTTTTTTTAAATTATAATTTAATATTTATCTATTCAAAGTATATCTAATAATAATATAATAATAATAAAATAATAGTAATTGTGTATAAATAATTACATTTGCCAAATACTTTTATCTGCAAATTAAATTTTTTCTATTCCTGCTCGTACTTGACATCGTACTTAATATAGTAAGTCTAGTATATTTATGAGATGAATGATTAAATTTTTAATGTATTCTGAATAAAATATTTTATAGATAGTAAATTCAATTAATTAGATATTATTGACAATGATAACTATTATATAATGAAGATTGTTTTATTTTAATTAGTAATATCTAGAGGGAGTATTAATTATTAATTTATAATAATATAAATATTTAATATAAATTATATATATAAATTAATAACATTTGTATTTTTATAACTTTCAAT